GAGAGAGAGAGAGAGAGAGAGAGAGGGAGAGAAAACATGGCTGGCGAGCCACTCCCACCAGGTCACATGGCCAGCCAGCCACTCCCACAAAGGAGGCCACACCCACAGAGTAGGTTTGAAAAATTTTTGAAACCCACCACTGATATATAGGTAATAGAAAAGAGAATATCACACACAATACAAATGACTAAGGAGGGGGGACTTAATGGAAGAAGAAGGGGATAAACACCAGAAAGGTAGATGGCTTTGTCAACCATGAATTCCTCCGAAAAACGGATGTGACAAAAGTTCTTCTTGCTTTTTCGAATGGCGGTGATGTCCCCGCACTGTTCGAAGACTTCCTGGATGATTTCCTCTGTCGCGTTTTCGGGTAATCCTCCGACGAAGATGGTTTTGCATCCTGGCGGCCTTTCCCTGGTTGAAGGGGGTGGAAGATCTAAGACAAAAACAGGAAGATCACAGATCGATTATTGGCGAATCCAGAACCCAAAGTCTCTCAGCTATCTCTCATCTATCCTCTACACAGATGTTACTGATCGCCAACATCTGCCAGAATGGAAAGGAGTTCTGTCCTGATGCTATTCTGGAACTCTTCCTTAATTTAAGGCCATCATTTATGCTGGAGTAATTTAACCCATCACCAAATGCCGACTCACAATTTCCCACCTATATCATCTCTTAGGTGTAAAGATATTTATCCTTGTAGTAGGAATGCATTGCAATTATCCTTCTCGTCTTTTCGTTTCTCATCTTCTCATCTTTCCTACTGTCTTCTACTATTGGCATCTTAAGATTTATCACTTGCTGTTTGTATCTTATGATTAAGGATTGTGACTATGATTTATGATCTATGACCTATGTTGTTTATACGTATACTGAGAGCATGTGCATTGGAGATAAATTCCTTGTATGTCCAATCACGCTTGGCCAAGAAAGAATTCTCTTCTCTTCCTTTCCCTTCCCTTCTCTCCCTTCTCTTCTCTTCTCTTCTCTCCTCTCCCTCTTCTCTTCTTAGAGCCGAGGTGGCGCAGTGGTTAAATGCAGCACTGCAGGCTACTTCNAGACAGACAGACAGACAGACAGACAGAGACAGAGACAGAGACAGAGAGACGCAGACAGAGAGAAAAAGAGAGATATATGATAAAGGGATTATAGCTGCATAGCTAGATATCTATATATCAGGGAGAGACAGAGACGGAGAGAGAAATAGAGGGAGGGAGAGATAAAATCTAATAAGATGAAACGGAAGAAAAAGATCTTATTTTCTAGCAAGGCCATTGGTTGACGTATCCTTGATCCCTATATGTCAGCACAAACTGGTGGATCTTAAAGCACTTGCAAAGATACTTAGCTCTGCCTGATTTCAGAACAGGAAAACTGGATTCTGACCTGAGCTAATAAGAATAACGTGTAAGCAATGCATCAGCTTCTCCCTGTAGCCAAACAGGAGATTCTGTAGCCTAGGGAGATTCCCAGCTCATGGTTCTCCCAAAGATCTCATGTGATCAAAATTTAGATGTTTGGAACTTGGCATGGACTTTGCAACTGGCAAGAGAGGGTTGCAGCATCCAGGAATCATGTGATTTATTGCTTGTTGCTTGTATGCACCGGAGGGAAATTCCTTGTGACCCTGGATCCTATTTATGACAGCTACAGCCTCCCGGGGGAGTCACGCGATCCCATTTTACGACCGTCCGACAAACCAAAGTCCACGGGGAAGCCAGATTCGCTGAACAACCAATTTAACAACTGCCGTGATTCACTTAACAACGGTGGCAGGAAAGGTCATAAAATAGGGCAAAGCTCACTTAACAACTATCTCACTGAGCAACAGAAAAAATGGGGCTCAATTCCGGTCATAAGCCGAGGACTGACTATATACAGGATTAGCCCTAGAATGGCCTTCCTTGGATGGGTTTCACCTCTCCTGCCAGGTGTGTTGTCCTTTTCTGTAAGCACAAACTGCAGCTCTTGAGTATCACCACAACTGCAAGTGTAGTAAATTATATCTTCTCTCTCTCTCTCTCTCTCTTTAATGTCTCTTGCCTATTATAAGCCTTGGAAATTACCCTCTCTCTCTCTCTTTGCCATTTCAGAGCACTTTACGTTTGAAAATGTAATAAAGATCATGGCGGAAACACAATAATTCAGCGCAATTAAAACAAGCCGGCTTCACGGCTGACAGCAGCCCGTCTGCCATCCTAAGAAGATAGACGGGCCCTTCGATTCTGCCTTGTAAAATGTCATCAAAATCCAGCTTGAGAGGATGCCAGAGCCTGAAGCCCATGTCCAGGATCCGTCTGTGTGTGGTGGCTCTTGAAGCACTAGCACTAGCAATAGCAATAGCAGTTAGACTTATATACCGCTTCATAGGGCTTTCAACCCACTCTAAGCAGTTTACAGAGTCAGCAAATCGCCCCCAACAACAATCTGGGTCCTCATTTCACCCACCTCGGAAGGATGGAAGGCTGAGTCAACCTTGAGCCGGTGAGATTTGAACAGCCAAACTGNCTCCCCACTGCTCCAAGGCCTGACGTCATGGGCACACTCCCTTTGGCTTTCACCGCTGCTCCATGCCTCAGGCGCCTCCTAGTGGCCAACCAGCCTCTCTGCGCCCTGCTTAGAGTCGGAACTCTGTCTAGGGTCCTCCACATCTTCCAGAGCCGACTCAGAGGGCCCCTCGCTGTCGGAGTCTGGTGGCAGCTCCAACGGCTCCTGCTGGGCCGCAACACAAATGTGCATATAAATAATATTCCTTGTAATAATTTTGGGAGGGGATTCCATGCTCTGCGTTTATTTGGAAACGAAATAAAAAGCGTATTAAATTATAACTCGGATTAAAGAGGATACGTGGAGCTGCACCCAAAATTAAATGAAGGGATGATGGGGTGGGACGCTAATTGTTGGGATGGACAATTCACACAACAAAACTCTCTTGTTTTCCGAAGTGGGTTGCGAACTGTAAAATGATTTGTAAAAACAAAATAAAGATACTGGATTTAATGCTTACACAAGTATGGATTCAGGTTTTCCGCTCTTCAGGAAAACTTTCGGCGAGTGAAAATGAATAATTGGATTTAGCTCAGCACGGGAATATGGTGTTCTAAATTGCTGCTTGTCCCTGAACTGTGTGACTTTAAGGCATAACAACTCCCAGTTTTACATTTGTCATCCATCCATAGATTCTTTGGAAGAGAGGCTGGAATTGTATGAAGAAATAAGCAGACGACATCCACGGGCTGTTTCCCCTCGAAGGCTTCCTTTAAACTTTGTCACAGGTAACTTTGCCGTCTTTATATCGTAACAACTCCACGATACTTAAAAAGTATTCCCCCTCCCCCCCCCATTTGCATTTCATCTGCAGTGGAAGATTCGTCTTTGGTTTTCTTTCAAAATGTATATTTTATTCTGTTTACATCCCGTGAATGCCTTGTGATTGTTGTAAATTCCACCCAGAGATGTTAAACGGCAGTAGCAAACCAGTGGTGAGATTCAAAAAAAAATTACTACTGGTTCTGTAGGCGTGGCTTGGTGGGTGTGGCAGGGGAAGGATACCGCAAAATCCCCATTCCCTCCCCATTCCAATGGAAGGATATTGCAAAATCTCCATTCCCTCCCCACTCCTAGGGAAAGGATAATGCAAAATCCCCATTCCTTCCCCACTCCAGGGGAAGGATANTTCCCTAGTTACGTACTGAAACTTCTGCAAGAAAACAGCCAAGCTCAGAGAGCACCAAGGACCCCACAGTCCCCCTCCCCTTCTGCAAACCCCCACTCCCTTTTAGCACTGATGACGTTACCTAGTTGGGTCATGAAACATCTGCAGGAAAACAACCAAGCTCAGAGAGCACCAAGGACGCCCCCATTTCAACCCTGAGCTACCCTTTATGGCAAATGTAAAAAATCGACCCTTTTCAGCGTCCAAACTTTTCCAATTTTTTTTTTTTTTGTTTAAAGTCAGGTGTGGTTATATTATATTGCTGCAGGGGGAATGCTGTTGAATTTGGGGCGCCTGGAAGAAGCCGCTGAAATATATCGGGAGCTGATTGACCGGAATGCAGAATGTTGGAGTTACTACGAGGGCCTGGAAAAAGCTTTGCGGCCACGTAAGCGACGGAATTGTCCATTTCGCTTCAAGCATTTTAGGAGTTTGGGCTTTGAAAAAAGTACGGTGTGCCATGCATTTAGGGAAACACAGATAGTCCCTGACTTACGACCCGAATTGAACCCAAACTTTCTGCGGCTAAGCGAGATTTTGTCCCATTTTACGGCCTTTCTCCCCCACAGTTATTAAGTGAATCACCGTGGACGTTAAGTTAGTAACACGGTCCTTCGGTGAATCTGGCTTTACTTGTCAGAGGGCCCAAAAGGGGATTACGTGACCCAGGGACACTGCAACCGTCATAAGTACATGCCAGTTGCCAAGTGTTTGCATTTTGATCACGTGACCACGGGGATGTTGCAACGGTTGTAGGTTTTGAAAAAAGTCGCTTTTTTCAGTGCCGTTGTAACTCTGAATGGTCACTAAATGAACTGCTGTATGTTGAGGACGACCTGTAAATATTCACTGCAGTCTCTCTCTAAGCTTAAAACTTTGTGTTGCATCGTAGCGATTGATTGCAACTCCCTTGTAAGAAATTACTTGAAAATAATGTCTCATCGTTTGAACATGAAGACATTTCACTTTTTCAGTCGTTTGTTATTCGTGAAAACCGGCCTCTCCAATTCAATATTTTTATTTATTTATTTACTTTATTTTATTTTATTTATTTTATTTGTCAATAAGTACAAGGAAGCAAGTATGAAAAACACATGAAAAAAATGGCACAAATAAATGGATAAAATAAGTAAAATATAGCCATAAACACATAAAAAGAGAACATATAAATGTGTTCTGACCCCCCTCTCCGTACGCCGAGGCATTCCAAGACAAGATTACTGCTAGACGATTTATTCACAGTAAATCAACACACTGACCAGACCTTGGCAGCAATCCAGACTTCCAAGATAAGAAATCTCCAGCGTTGGTAATGAAGTTGAATCCTGCAAACAGTCTCCTCCCAAAGTCTCTCCTTATATACTCTCTTGAGAGGAGCCT